GGAATTCGGAGGAGGCCTAATCTGTGGGATCTAATCGGTCTAGTGGAGGTAATTGGCAGCAGGCGGTCTCTCAAGTACCCAGGTCCAATACCATAAAGGGCTCTTCATTGACTTATCTAAGATCATGTTTCTTTTTTTATGTATGAGTTAAATTTCATATTGCTATTAGTAGGACAGTGGTAGATTGATTGGAAAACTTGACAATAAATGAAAAAGACTAATATAAAGCATAAAGGTGGGGCGGATTGAATGTAAATATCTTCTCCCCCCTATGTTGGAAAGGCAATTTCATAAAATTAACAGTGAGCAGCTATAGAGACATTTATGGTAACGCCATAATACAGTGTGTGGGAGCCCCTCCCTTTCCACCATTTTGGATTACTTTGCCTTTTCCAGAAATATTTCTCTCTTTCCGGCCTCTCCCTTTTTTTTTTCCTTATTTGTCTCAAACAGAATCATCCCTTACCTTCCATTAGAATTTGTATTCATGTTATGTCTTTAGAGGAAGGACAAACTATTGTTTGGGTCCAAAATTCTCTTCAAGTCTCTGGTTACAAGGAGAATTCTCAGGTATAAGACAGTTACTTTGTCACACAAAGGGAAACTTTGGGTCTAAGCAGGTTGTTTGCTTAGGGTTGTGTAAAGCAAAAGGGTTTCCTTTTCTCTTTTAGTAATAATCTTGTGGTATTTTCAAGTATCTTTCTGCTCACTTCATTTTTTTTGTCTGTGTATATTTCAAAATAAAAATCCCATGCTGAATATCAAAACAAATCAAAAGAGAGACAAATTCCTGTAAAGGTTTCCTGCCTAGCAAAGAAACTAGGGTGGTACAATTGAAAGCAGACGTGAATAACATACTTGCTGGAATCAGATTTTTTACACAGTTTTGTATCGCTGCTCAGAAATTTGTTTCAACTATTAATAGGAATCTAAAGAGGAAGCTTCATCAAGATGTTTAAGCCAAATGGACTTAATTTGCTGTGTCTCCTTAGTCTTCACCAGGTAAGTGGCAAAAAGCTTTCATTTCCCTTTAACCAACCTGATTTTGAATGTACTGGAAAACAGTTGTTTTATATTGGCAATTATTGAGATAGGAAAAATAGTACATTGCTTGCTTTTTAAAAGAATATTCATAATCTAATTATGGCAAACACATTATTCATTCCCCCCCCCCCAATCGCAACAGGTGATACTGTCTCTGAGCATTTCTTTGGTTTTATTTGTGTGGGTATATTAACTGCAATATATTTTCTGCTTTTTTGACCCATGCACACTAGCTCATAACTCTTTCTCTTGTTAGGATTTACTGTGCATTCTCTAATGTGTAAAATTCTATTTCCCTTGTTAAAATGTATAAATAGCAGCATATACAAGTTGAATAATTTAATAACAACTTAAAAAGCATATTAAATATCAAACATTCTGCATTCAAATTTTGAATATTGTTTTCATTTACCTCTGATTTTCATTTAATGTATGCGGGTTTCACTTTTCTTAAAACAGATGGGGGAGATAGATATGTTTAACATTTAGACCAGGGGTTTCCAACTGTGGCAACGTTAAGCCTGGCAGACTTCAACTCCCAGAATTCCCCAGCCAACTTTAAGTCTGCCATGCTTAACGTTGCCACGGTTGGAGACCCCTGATTTAGACTGTGTCTAAATTGCAAGTACCACTTATGGCAGTGGAAGCATTACGTCTGTTTGTCCTTTTTTATGGAAGCCAACTCTTTATTTGAAGGACTGCCCAGTTCATGTCTGCTTTTAAAATAAAGAGCCACAAGAAAGGAGAGCAGAAGATCTATCATTGACCTTCAAAAACTGGAAAGCAGGCAGGGCAAACAGAGGTCATCTGCTCACAGACTGTCCATTATGCAGAGGGGCACATTTCTATTTAAATTGTATTAATTCAAAATGTATATCTTTGCCAGAGATGAGCAAATGTTTTGCTTTTTTAGAAGTTGGGAACATTCCAAGACAACCACCCCAAGTGGCTCCTACTAATCAGAGTAATTAAGTCACTCTAATGAATGGGCAACTGGGTTGCGGATGATAGTTTGCTAATTTGGAATGTATCACTATGGATCTTGTGAATCTTAAGAATACAAATAGGAGGCCCCAAACCTTTGGTGGTTGATGAATAACCTTGGAGATCTGTGAACATATTATGGGGACTTTTGCAAAATGGTTGTCATGGAATAGCTTTGGAGGGTGGAGTTAATCAAAAATTCCTTTTATCAGAAGACATCTTGGGGGGGGGATAGTTCTCAGCATCAACTTCATTTTCTCCTTTTTTTCTGGACAAGTAGTAGCTGAGACAAATGGTTGGGCTCTAGACCCCCCACATTTTAAGAAAATCTATGGAGTTTATGTTAGGGCGTAGATACAATCTTGGAAATAAAAATCATCCTATGGCCTATCACTTTGGTTTTTCACTATGCCAATTTCTAATGAAAAGTCAAAGCACTGGATTTTGTTTTAAGTCTGGTGAGACAGGGAGTTTGGCAGGCATGAGAGGAGTCTCTGTTGTCACACCATTAGACTTTGGAACAGGTTAAACACCCATTTAATCCTTTTTGAAATGTTTCCACCTGTAACAGCACCTGTGTGACTGTAATGTCATCCAGCAGGTCCAGCAGGAGAGGCATGTTGTGGGTCCTGTCAGCCAAGGGTTTTTGTTAGATGGGACTTAGAAGGAAAAACTTTTCTGTTGTGAATGTCAACCTGTGGAACATCAATATCATGAGGCTGGGCCCCAAACCTATTTTGTCCTTTGGGAAGGCCCTTAGTTGATTCTGTCAACTAGCTTGGAAACTCAATGTAGAGCAGTGGTTCCCAAACTTGGCAACTTTAAGACTTGTGGTCTTCAACTTCCAGAATTCTCCAGCCAGCTCTGCTAGCTGGAGAATTCTGGGAGTTGAAGTCCACAAGTCTTAAAGTTGCCAAGTTTGGGAACCACTGATGTAGAGTGAAGTGTACTATATGGCGATATGGTAATTATTCAATTCCCTTTTGTATGTTTTTCTTGTATTTTTTTTGCTTTTTTATATTTAAATTAGTTTTTAATACAATAGAATAAGAGTTGGAAGTGACCTTGGGTCTTCTAGTCCAACCCCCTGCCTAGGCCGGAAACCCTATACTGTTTCAGACAAATGGCTATCCAACATCTTCTTAAAGACTTCCAGTGTTGGAGCATTCACAACCTCTGGAAGTAAGTTGTTCCACTGATTCATTGTTCTAACTGTCAGGAAATTTCTCCTCAGTTCTAAGTTGCTTCTCTCCTTGATTAGTTTCCACCCATTGCTTCTTGTCCTGCCCTCAGGTGCTTTGGAGAATAGTTTGACTCCCTCTTCTTTGTGGCAACCCTGGAGATATTGGAACACGGCTATCATGTCTCCCTTAATTCTTCTTTTCATTAAACTAGACCTGCCCAGTTCCTGCAACCGTTCTTCAGATGTTTTAGTCTCCAGTCCCCTAATCATCTTTGTTGCTGTTCTCTGCACTCTTTCTAGAGTCTCCACATCTTTTCTACATCGTGGCGACCAAAACTGAATGCAGTATTCCAAGTGTGGCCTTACCAAGGCATTATAAAGTGGTACTAACACTTCACGTGATCTTGATTCTATCCCTCTGTTTATGCAGCCTAGAACTATGTTGGCTTTTTTGGCAGCTGCTGCACCCTGCTGGCTCATATTTAAATGGTTGTCCACTAGGACTCCAAGATCCCTCTCACAGTTACTACTATTGAGCAAGGTACTACATATACTGTACCTGTGCAACCTGTGTTGCTGGTTTTTAAAGTACTTTGATGGGTTTACTATATATGCCACCGGAGTCACTATGCAAGATGGGTAGCTCTATTAATGTGATAGATAAACAAACAAATAAAGTTTTCTCTTAGGAATAGGTAGAGGAATTATGTTTCTAAACATTTAGGTTCCATTTATTCTGTTAGGTTTAGTAGAAGTCATCAGGGACGGAAATTTTGCCTGACATGTTTAACTTCTTGAAGATTTAATGATTGTTGCAATAGGTCAAGCTTTCAGAGTGCCTGGGTAAAGCACAGAGAGTTAAATTGGACAGGTTGGCCTGTCTAAGAAAGCAGAATGAGTTCTGTTCCTTCTCTACTTGTTAGGAGTCCTGATTCTTATTTCTAAGACTCCCAGCCCTTTGAAAGCAACAAAATGCTCTGTCCCCAAGTGTACTTAGGTATCATTATGTACATGTTACTGTGGTGGAAATTTGAAGGAAGCCAAAATAATATTTTCTGCATACCAAGTAGAAAATATCAGGAACAGTTTTGAAGATTCTTGATGTTTGCAGATATATATAAACAAACAATTAGAGAAAGAGAAAGGATGGTTGCAAGAACAGAAAAGAACAGAAGTATACTGTTGGCATAAATTAGCTTCAGGTTCTTTTCGTTTATCATCTCATTCTTAATAGTAAATGGGTTACTATTTGTTACACCATTTCTGGGTTTTGCATAAAGTTGTTGACCCCAAAATAGAATAGCATGAGGGACATGTACTGTACTGTCCCAAAAAAAAGGCTTCTGTTTTCTGTATTCACAGAAATCTATTATACCTGCAAGGAGGATGGGTAATATGTACAATGCTTTGAGTAGGGGTTCCACATAAACCAATGGTATTGCTTAAAGCATCTATATATACTTACCATTCAATTCAATACGTAAGTGCAAAATGCAGGTATAAGCAGCAGTAAGCCAAAGAAATTAGGAACAAAATATAAAAAGGGAAACAAAACTAAATCTAACATATCTTATCAACACCATTCAGTGGACTTCTATATTGTACATTTCTATCTTTGCAAATCATTTTTGTTTCCATACACCTGTATATTGCTTCCTGCGTTGCCCTACGTCCCCCCCAAAAGGTGAGATATTTGTAGAACAAAAGGTGTTCTACTAATACCATGAGGATAAAATCATATAATAAATATATTTATTATATTTATTATAAATATATAAGAATAGCAAATTCCATCCATTCACAGCTTTTTGGTCTTCTCCTTCTACTTGATCAATTTATTTAAGCTTACTGTTCCTTCCCCCTCTTTACATTTTTCATAATGGTGACTCTCTTGAATTCAATCCGTATTCATTCAGCACCTATCCTATCTCTTCTTGTTTCACCATCTCCATCTTTTAGGAGTTTGGTATGGCATGAGAATTTTATTCCAGGCGTTGTCTTTTTCTCAATAGATAAATATGAACTCCCTAATTTGCACAGAGCAGGATTCTCAACAACTTCAGGCTACAGAATCTGTTCATTAAAAAACAATAATCCTGGAGCCTTGATTCAGGAAGCAAAAAAGCTCTAGTAATAGAAAGTTGACTGTAGAAAAGGGAACATTTTTTTTTGCCTTTAACCTTTTGGAAGACCATAGCAATTTATCAAAGAGCCCTAAGGTTTTATGGCATACAATTCACAAATCCTGACAAAAGCATAGTCAACCTGTCCCCTCACCAGATGATAAAGATTGTGCACACTTCCTGTATCTTATAGATGAAGATTACAGCAGATTCTATATATGAATTAGTATTATAGTTCAAGTACTTTGAATCAATAGAGCGGCAGATGTTCAAACTCTTCTTTGCAGAGCTCTTGTGCAGCCAGTTTACAATAACTTGAACACAGGAAGAAACCTGCAGGAACCACCCTTTATTATTCCTATGTTACATTATGAGTCATATTTTATAGCTCACATAAAAATACTCCAACAGACTAGGAAGGGTTGACACATTGATATATAATTTAATCTTTGATCTTTGCAATACGTTCAAGACTTTGATCTTTCTAAATGAATTATATGTCCCCATAAAGTACAACAAAGAGTTTTTCCCATATACTACAGCCTTTAACTATTTATTTCTTGTGTGAAGCCTGAGTGAAAATTTAAGAATTCTGGATTTCAGCTCCTTCCCCCCCCCCCCCCACCCCACTTTATCCTCGTGCCTGGACATTTCTTGGAGCCTTGATT